CCAGCTCTGCCCTGTGCAGTGTCTGGTTTTGCACAGCAGAAACCTGCTTGGGAATTGGGCTGTCTCCGATGTCAGTATGGGGCACTTGGAGGTGCTGGTCAAGTACTGCTTGCTGTGAATTCTGAAATTGACAGAAGTCCCTCAGGCCCTCACATTCACCTTCATTTTCAACTCTTGGTTCTGTTCTTCCTGCTCCTTAACCACGCGGCTAGCATGACACCCCTGTCTATACACACACAGCCTTGGCCAGCTGTGGACAGAGATCCCAATGCACTTCAATGCAGTCACTGCCCTTTGAAGGACTGCCAATGGCCCGCCGAACTCTGGTTGGCCATGTGTGTGCTAGAGGGCATGGATCTAGCAAGGATGTTACCTGCATGGCTCTGTCCTGCTTTTGTCCGGTCTGGACTTCTGGGGCCTGGTAAGGCTGGCACTGAGGCCTGTTGTGTGCTGGCTGAGGACAGGAGACACAGGCGGGCATCAGTGCCTGCTCTACTCCACTTCAAGGTAGAGGCAGTCCAGTGTGGGCAGGGAGATGGATACATATGAAGGGGCTTCAAGAAGTTTGTGAGAAAAAATCCATTATCCTTTCCTTCCATTGGTGCATGAACTTCTTGAAGCGCCCCCATGTGCAAAGTGACAGATGTCCTGTGCGATGCAAAGTCTTTAGGAGGTTCTCAGGAAGGCTGCTTTGATGGAGGTTCATTGCGAAAGGATCATGGAAAATCCACACTCGGGCTGAGTGCAGAGGAATGTAGAAACTGGTGGGTAGAAGGACAGAGAGGAGCTTCCCACTAAAGGGACCTCTTTTTCCCCTGCCAGGCTTTCTGGTTCTGATGGTAGCTGTAGTGGTAACCTCAACACTTAACCTCTTGACTTCTTTCTGGGGTGTGGATACTGAGTCTAGATGTGGCGTACTAAGAGTGAGGCCTGGCGGTGTAGTGGTTACGAGTTGGGCTGCGATCCTCATGGTCGGCAATTTGAAGCCAGCAGCAGATCTTCAGGAGAAAGACTGGGTTTTACTCCTGTAAACAGTTAGAGTCTCAGAAACCCACAGGGGTCACTCTGAGTCAGCACTGACTTGATGGCAGTAAGAGTGAGCAGGCAGGACTGAATCAGGGTTGAGTTGTGATGAGCTCGTTTTAGTCCCATGGGCAGGCAAGACCCCCACCCCACCCCACCCCACTTGCCAGCAGAATGAGACTCTTCTGGGTCCCCAGGGGCCATTCATGGCTGACAGACAAAGGATGTTGCTCCCTGGCTGAGCAGTGCTGGGCTGCTCAGAAGTCCTAAGGATGGAGCTCTGGGAGTACTTGCCTTAATGAGCATCTAGAGTGTAATCTGCGCAGGGGTGGGGGTGGGGGTGGAGGTTGTATATTGCTCCCTCCACCTGCAATGAACTAGAAGTCTTAGGGTATGTGGAGATTGAGACCACCTAGCCCGGAGCCCGAGGTGAGCAAGCTTTGTATCTCAGCTTGGACTCCCGACCCCTACTACTACCAGGTGTAGTTTGGCTTGGCCTAGGCCTGTCCTCTGACCCCCAGGCTCACAGAGGTTTCCCCTGTCAATGGTAAGGCATCTGCCTTCTTCTGAGAGCCTAGTCACTCTTAACACTCCCCTGCTTCCTGCCTCCACCCGCTGCCCCCAAGTGAATCATGGAACTCAGAACATCTGACTCAAAACCCGCTTTTTTTGAGCGCAGAGGTAGGCCCAGAGCTCACTGAGCAGCTCAAAGTTTGTCCAAGATTACAACCCTAAGTTGAGACAGAGCCAGGGTTTCTTTTTCAAGACTTGAATAACTGTTTGTTACTCCAGCCACACTGTGACTCAGCTTGCAGTCCGTATTTGGGGTGCTAGGAACCCTAAGATAGAACCCCTTCCAAATTGGCTGGGGCCTCTGCAAGGACATAAAGGAAGGTCTCCGCCGATTGCTACCCTTCCTCTTGACCCCACCCCTGCCTTCTCTCTGGGTGCCAGTTAAGACTGCCTAGGGGCTTTCACCCAGAGGTGTCTTGACACAAGAGCTCAGAGCTCTCAGAGGGCTGGCTGGGGATTCAGAGAGCAGGAAAGGTTAAGGGGTACCAGAACCTCTGGGGCCCTTCCCCAGGCCCAACCATCCACTCCCTTCCAAGCCGTTTCCCCTCAGAGCCCTGGGCCATGGTGCTGCTGGGGAGGTGTACAAGGGACAGTAGTCATTGACCTTCCTGGGGACCCTAGCTCTCTGCAGGTGGCTATTGAGGTGAGAGGGTGCAGGATCCTGGCTGCGGGTGGAGGAGCAGAACGACATGGGGATGGAAAGCAGATTGCTGGAGCTAGGGTGAGCCAACCCTTCTCCTCACGTGACCCGGGAGCTCAGGAAAGCTGCACCCATTGCCTCCTCAGGTCTTGTCACAACTCAGCTCTCATCAGGACAAGGGAGTTGAGTGTCCTCGTGGAAGTTGAATTTCCTCATCAGGGACACCTGGAGCCAGGGGGTTCGTGGCGTGAAAGGTGGGCGGCCGCACCTAGCACTGCCAGCAGGGACAACTTCTCTTCACCCTGGGGCTGGGAGGTAAGCAGGTATAGGGACACAGAGGACCTCTGCAGTCACGTGGAGCCTGGAACATGGTTTCTCTCCCTACTGGTGATGGGGTATGTGTACTACCCACTTGGCAAGCCCAGCCCGTCTGCTGGAGCTGATGTCTGGTGGGGACATGAAGTTTCCTGAGGCATGGCCAATGGCAACTGATGGGAGCCCACAGGTCCCTCTTAAGATCCTAGCCATGTGTCCCGAGTCCTGCATGGACAGATGGACCCTCTGCCTGGCCCAAAGCCTCTGGCTACTATACAGGACTGCTGTAGCCGGCCCCCCGACACTGCCCACAGCTGTCACTCCCAGGAAGAAAATCACTTCTTTAAGTTGGGAGTCTGGGAGACCCAGCCACATCTCCGGGACCTGCCCCAGGCCATCTCCCTCTTTAGGGAACAGCCTCCACCCACCCCTCATATTTTTAGATCGAGCAAAAACATCAGAGCTTGAGTTCAGAGCATAAGGACATTGCTACTCAGAACAGCCTGCTGAGCTGCAGTGAGCCCAATCAGGTAGCCCAGCTCTGAGACTTCAGATGGCCAGCAGGATCTACTGGTTTCGGGTCCTAGGGAGGCAGGGGAGCGGCAGCTGCTGCTGCTGCATTTAGTCAGCACTGATGTGTTGTTGTAAACTCATTACAGGACCAGTTGTTCCCAAGAGGGGCTGGTCCTTGGCTGCAGCTTAAGTTGATGTCTTCAGAGGCCTTCTTGCAGCTCCTGGGGATGGCACACCCGGTCTTCCCCTACCTTGGGACGTGTCCTTTCTGGGCCTCTCATGTGAGAGAATGGGAGGCTATGCCTGGTGGACCTCATTGGCCACCCTTCCCCCTGCCCCTCGTGGTGCAGGTCCTTTGGGGTTTGCTCTGGGAGAGCTCACTAGGCTACATGCCCTACCTTGACTGCACCCACCAAGAGGGGCTGGATTTCATTGTTGGAGGTGGTGGGATGAACCCTCCCAGGGACTGTTCCGAATCTGTTAATCTGCAGGGCAGCCCAGGAAAAGATGGTTTTCAAGATCCTGGGTGGGCATAGCATGGAGGCCTGGTGGCATAGTGGTTATATAGTGGCAAATTGGGCTGCTAAGTGCAAGGTCAGCAGTTTGAAACCACCAGCAGCTCCTTGGGATGGGCTTTCTATTTCCATAGAGCTACAGTCTCAGAAACTCACAGGACAGTTCTACCCTGTCCTATAGAGTCACTGTAGCCACTATATAATCTCCTGTCAACTTGCAAAGGAGTGGAGTCTAGTCTGTCAATCAGCTCACAGCTTGATGACCTCATTTGGAGATGCTATGGAGCTAAATAGCTCACTGGAGGCCAGACTCTCTGCTTCATATTCCTGCTGACAAGCCCTGGAGCTGGAGGAGCCACGTGGAGACCCATGCCAGCACTGAGCTACTTCCATCGCCACTGGATCCACAAGACTTATCACCCACAGGCCTGTGATCTTCCTGCTTTCGGTGTCATTGCATGGCTGTGTGACTCTAAAGAACAATTTATGGACTAGTATCGACGTATGGGATAATATCAGACTTATGAACTTGATCTGGACTGAGCTGGGAGGTTTCCTTACTGTACAATTGCTCTTTGATATAAAGTTCTCTCTTACACACGAGTGTCTCTGGATGTTTCTCTAGTCTACCTGGACTAACAGAGTCACTATGACTCAGTATCGACTTGACCTGATGTTGGCAGCACCAGCCTGAGCTGGGCTCATCTTCAGTACTGTTCCCAGTTGTGGCCCCGTCCTGGTCTGGAGGATCAGGAGGAAAGCCAGAAAGCAACTCCCTAGCTCCCTCTCTCCAACTGACCTGTTACAGGACCCCAATGTGCTGAGGTCACGCCTGCCAGAGCTGGGGTCCACCTGAAAGAGGTTTCGGGGCCAGGAGGGTGCTTGCAGGGTCCAAGTGCACTACAGCCCCGGGAGTTGTGACTGGAGAACTTGAAGAGCTGGGGAGAGACCACCCTTGGCCCCCGACTGCAATCTCGAAGTCTCCAACCTCAGAAACTTTGGCATCTTACCTATGGTGCCTCAGTCCTAAGGGGCTCCAAGGGTCAGGACTCAGACACTGGCTCCTCCCTGCACTCTGGCCCCTGCCTCTAGGTAGCTTGTCATCTCAGCAGCCTCTGCACCGCCACCCCCACCCCACCATGGCCTGTGGTGCATGCCCTGGCCTGCCCATTCTGGAAACCACCCCTAGACACCTTGGGGAAGGGCCAAGACACTCCCCACCTTTGATCTCTGGTGCCTGAGGCTCCCGGGAAAGGTGTCCGGTGCAGGATTGCATTGGCCTCTTACAGGAAGGATGGCCGGCCTACCATGAGTACCCTTTATCTGAGCTGTCTCTGCCTCAGCAGATGCCGCCCAGAAAGATATTTTCTCTTCCATCTTCCAGTGGCCTGGGCAGACATGAGAACTGAGGAGAGGAGACGTGGGAAGGAGGCATGCTGGGATCTTTGATTTTATTGGGAAGGGCAGGCCGTTGTAGTGTGGGTGGCGGGGCAGATTGGCTAGCAGTGCCTGTTAAGTAAAATGGATGATCTGGTCCCCAGAGAGCAGACACCCTCCCACCCTGCTTCAGAAAAGCCCAACTGAGGAAGCAGCCCATTGTGCCCCCTTCCCCACAAAGTAGTGTCATTCACCTCTGGGAACACTGGGGTCCCTGGGAGCGCAAGCCCTCCCTCCCACCCCCACATTTGCAGAGCTGCCCCTCTGTAGCTGTCACCTGGCCCCTAGGGCCTTGTGAATTAACCCGCCAGCCCGGCGGGTGGAGGGCTCTCCAGGTCTCTCCCCGGCATGCACCGCCTGGATGAAGCCGCAGGTCTGTCAGTCAGATCTGCCAAGCCAAGTGGAGATAGAGGCACAACCTCATCTCTCGGCCAGGCTGGCCAGGATGCCAATGAGATTGTCCAATCCCAGCAAGTAGCCGTCTTCACGATTGCCCTCCTCCCAGGGCAGCCTGTGGTCCAAGGTCTGGCCGTCGGGGAGGGGCGTGGTCTTGCCGAAGTCAATGAGCCACACGCCAGCGCGATGGCAGTGGTCATGCACGAAGAGGAGGGAGCTGCCGATCACCTGTGGGCTCTGCACGGTCAGGCTGCGGACGGTGGCACCCCAGGTCTTCACCCTCTCTCCCCAGGAGCCTTAGAGGCCACTGACCTTCTCAACCCCGCACTCCCACCACCACCCAAGGGCCTCTCATACCTCATGCCTCTGGAAGAACTCAGAGACCTCCAGGGTGTCCCGGATCTGCTGCAGGCGATTCAGATACCTCCTCTAGAGGGGCAGGGTAGGGCAGGAGGTCAAATGAATTCAATGCTAAGCTCAGTGCACCTTTGCTAACAAGGGCACGCTGGGCTCAGTGGTGAGGAAAACATGGTGCCGAGACCGGAATGGGCAGAAGGGCGAACAATGACCACACCACGGCGTGAGAAATGCTATGCTGGGAGGGAGACCTACTGGGCACTAGAACCAGGCGACCCTGGGCACCCCTAGGTGTCAGGTTCCCAAAGACTACAGGCTCCTGGGGTCCAGCGCTCACCAGTACTTCAGCATCTCCTTGCACAAACTCTTCAAAGACTCGAGTCACCTGCTCTCGGCTCCTTGTAGTCTTGAAGTCCGTGCTGCAGGAGCCATCGGCTTTCTAGAAGTGGGGCGGCGAGGGTCAGAGCCCCCACCCACTCCTGCTCCAGGGGAAAAGGATCAGGCCCCGCCCCGCCCTGGGGTGTCACTCCCAAGGTCAGAGGGCACCCCTGGGGAGGGGGCGGGGGTCTGCGGTGGGAGTGGGCATCGCGGGCTCACCTTGATGCCCTCGATGCGGAAGCCCAGCGTGGTGCTGGAGCTGATACTTTCCCGCCACTGCATGTAGCGCGGCTTGGTGACAGCATGCTGCGCATGCTCCTCCTCCGTGGGCGCCGAAGGGTCCACCGCCAGCATCTTCTTGTACATGTCCTTCCGCAGCTTGGGTCGCTCCCGGGCTTTGGTCAGCTCCTCCTCCAGGTACGTCCTGTGGGGCAGGGAGCAGGCGGCAGGTGGGCGTGGGGGGTGCAGGTGGATACCCCTCTACTGCATGCCGGGGCCTCCGCCCGGCCCGCCCAGCCCTCTGTGTACCTGACACCCATCTTGCAGTCAAGCACGCAGGGCCCGTCGAAGCCATCCAGCAGGTCTTGCAGCTGAAGGTAGCTCTCACCGTCGCGCTCCACCACCCCGTGGAAGGCTGGCACGCAGCCCTGCAGCGCATCCACCATCAGCCGTGCCAGGCACAAGCGTTCCGGCTCCGAGCTGCGCTTCAGGATTAGCCCATTGGTGCCAGCCGCCTTGAAACTCCCTGCGGACAGCCACCAATGAGCGCGTCCCATCCTCCTGCTGGCCCTGCACCCTCCGCCTGCACCTGGACCCCGTGCTCACCTGTGTGCCCCGCCAGCTGCACCCAGGAGTAACGCCGCTTGAAAGGGCTCATGACCGGCAGATTCACCATGGTCCGGATCTTCTGCCAGTGGCTCTTCTGAAAACGACACGGGCCTGATTTGCTCTGGAAAAGGGTGTGGCCCCGCCCCTAGCCCACAGGAATCAGCTGGGGCCTGACAGTTGGTTCCTTCCTTCATTCGTTCATTGGAAGGAAGTTTAGGGTATGGCAGGCACAGGGAGGTGAAAGATATTCAGCTTCTGGGATGTGCTGAAAAGAACTTTGGCCTTAGATTCAGAAGACTCAGGTTTGAGTCCCAGGACTCAAAAGTTAGGTGGGAGGTTACCAAACTGCTCAGCGGAGCTTATGGGAGGTTTCGAGAGCATCACAATGAAGCTGGCCAAAGCAGCAACTTATGTCAGCTCAGGGAAAATTCGGCCCTTCAGGTGGGGAGAAGCCAGACATTTGTACTACGGCCTTAGGCCATTCTGGTACTGCAGAGTCCCAGGTCACAGAGAGCTCCAGGACATCCGTTTCTCATCTGTGACATGGGAGACTAACCACCCTCATGGAATTCTTTGTAGTAGTGTGTCAGGGGCTACCACCCCTCACTCCCGCAAGCCGCACCCCATCCTTGGCAGGAAGTAGAAGCTAGATAAATCTGGATCATTCGATTCACACCACGAGCGCCTCTCGTTTCGGGAGGCAGACACATAGGAATACCAGCCCACCAGGGCCTGGAGGAGGAAGGGTTTGGGGCTCCCCAAGACCTCCACGCTCTCCAGGCATGCAATGCCCTACCTACAAGTTGGCAAGGCTCAGGGCAACTTAGTCCTGACCCGGACCCAGGAAGCTGAGCTCTGAAAGGGGCTGCAAAGCAGCGGACCGGTCACCTTGGACACAGTTGAGGGAAAAACAATTGATGTGCCCAGTCAATATCTCACAGATATTGTGCTAAACCCCACCCCCAAACTCCTGAGAACATCGCCCACCCTAGGCGGTTCTTCTTCCCACCCAGAACCCATTAGTCTTATGCCCACACCTTTCATGGTGCCGGGGTTTGCTCATCTAAACCACGTGCCTGGCGCTGACTCCACCCAGGGCTGCCTGCTTTTGGAAGTCACATGCGTGCTCCCACGGGGCTAGACCCTGGGAATGCAGCCGCCCTGACACCAGGGCGTTCTAAGATGAGATGGAGGACTGGGGAGGTGGTCCCGGAAGTGGAAGCATGCAGATGGTAAAGTCCCTCCCTTCTCAGGGAAAGGACACGGTCAGCAGCACCAGAGGCCTGAATGGTGAGTCTGCAGTTGGTGTCAGTTCTGCCATCTGTGTGGGCTGGTTTCCTCCCTGCCTCCAGCCACTCAACTGCTACCATAAGGCGGGCCACCCTTTACTGACCGCCCACTACATGCCAGGCAGCATTGTTCCCTCATTCCCACTGAGGCCCTTCTATGGTGCACTAGGGTGTGATCACATGTCCAAGACATTGGGATATGGGGGTGTAGCCAGCGGCAGCCCACCAGAAGCATGACATCTTTTTTTCAAAACTCTCTTTTGAAATCTTTAAATACCTACGAGGCTTGCATTCTGCTGCAGAATAAATCCAAGTTTTATTCTAAAACTCCCCCACTTCCAAACCATCAAGTAAAATTCCAGGAAGATGTGTGTGCCCTGTGTATTCAGTGGCACCATTCTATAGCCCCCTCTCCCACGCTTTGAGAATCATGCTGATGGTGGTGATATTGCTATCCCCAGGCTCAGCGGGGTTAAGGCATTTGGGTCCTTAAAGTTGAAGCTACTGTGCTGCCTGCCGTGGGGGCGGGGCGGGGCGGGGGTGGGGTTAATCATATGGTACACCACGTGAGAAAGAGCTTCGTTAAGAGTGATTTGCAGTCACAAGGAGGTGTTTTGATCACTAGGGAAACTGTGACATCTGCCTGGGAACCTCTTGACTGAAAGCCTTTGCCTTCACTGCACAGAGGGGGTTCAACCGCAGGGCACTTAGGACCCAGTGTACATCTAGTTCTGTAGCTACAGCAAGGCAAGGGAGAAGTAACCAGCCTGGGTGGGGTGAGGGAACTTCATCAACCTCCCTCAAATCCTGTGGGGGGCGTGAGAGGGCCTGAAGGGTGGAAGGTGGGCCAGGTGGAAGAGGATTTGATAGGATCGGGAGACCTGGGCTACTGCCACTTGCTCCCAAGCTGAGCTAAAATGGGGTCATCACGGACCCTCCCCTACTCTGGCCCCACGAGGATCACATGAGCAGCAAGAACCAAACCTGGGTTCTCTGTGCAGGTCCCAAAAGGCCTTCACACCCACAAACACCTCTGAGCCTTCCCCAGTTGCTCAGATAGGAGGCGCCCTGCCAGCAGTCATGGATGGACATGATCAACCCTGGACGGAGTTCAGACAAGTGTTATGGAATCCCCAGCCATCTGCCTGTTAGGGAACGCCCTTCCCTAGGGAGCAATCTGCACAGCAATGCATGTGTCAGAAAGGGCTCCTGGGATATCATCCCTTGGTGGGTGGGGCTTTGGGCACATGAACTACTGCAGGGAAGATATTTTTGAATAGGTGAGGTTTTTATTGTTTGAGTACCAGAAAGCAGCTTTTATTGTGTTCTGGTGTGAAATGTGGCTGCTAAGGAGTCAGGTCTGGGAAGCCAATTGGAAGCTGGAGGCCCCTTAGGTATCTTGGGTCAAATGCCAGGAGAGCAGACCATGCGCGAGTCTTGGGTGCCATCACACAAGGACCCTCTCCCCTGAGCAGCACCTGGCAGGGCACTGCCTGCACCCTGCTTTGACTGAGCCCCATTTTGAAGTCCTAAGGGCCCTAGCATCTTAACTCACACCTGGCACTCACCAGGTATTCCCGGTCCAAGAAAACCCTTGGCTCAGCCTTTGGCACCCCTCTCCACACTGCCTCAGCCCTCCACTCCCCCCTCCAGCTACCCTGTCTCTGGCAGAAGCTCCCTACCAGCCCAACCCTCTCCCTATGCTCCCATGGGGGTGGGGGTGGGGGTGGAGGTGGAGGAAGGTGAGAGCAATCAGATTAAATTTATAAAATAATTTGCAGGAAGGTATAAGTGACCCACGACTTTATCTTCTCAGGGGCATTTGCCTTTTTAAAAAGAAGTCTGTTAACCTAAATTCTGCTCTATAATTAGTGGCAAGTGACGTGTGGGACTTCGGAGTTCAGGCCGGCATGGCACCCAGGTCTCCTTACTGATCCTGGAGCATGGAGGGAAGACGGCATGAGAACCGGTCAAATGCCCACCAAACCCAGCGCCATCAAGTCCATTATGACTCAGTGTCCCTCTAGGGGTCTTTCAAGGTTGAAGATCTTTACCAAAGCAGATAGTCTCAATTTCCTCCCCTCCCCCAGAGCAGCTGACTGGTGGGGCTGGAGCGAGCAAACCAACCGCACCACCAGACCTCCTTGCGGCCAGAGAAAACACCCCAGATGGTGTGAGTAGTCAGAGAAAACCTAAAAGTAATCATGGCTGTTGTTATAGGGGATGCCCCCCCTCCTCTCCTGATCTGTGTGGGTCTCCCTGCCCACACTTTCTCCCTCTATCAGAGGACAGACCTGGGAGAGAGAGCATACACAATCACCCTTTCAGGAGACCAGCTCCGTGTCCTGGGCAGACTGTGGGGAGGCTCCTTACAAGGAGCAGGGGAAGGTTGTATGGGACAGGCCGAATAACCTGGGACTAGTCGGGCTAGTCTCATGATGGGACACTCCCACCCCCACCCCCCACCCCCACACACACTTCTGGACACACACCCCGGACGCTGGCAGCCACTTCCAGCCTGGCCTATGCCTCCTGCAGCTGCCCCAACACCTGCCTGCCCTCTCTCCAGGTGTATCCTTTCCGGTCAGTTAGATGGGCAACTCTACTTCCTGCCTGGGGAAGCCCTTTGGG